CAAGTGTGGTAAACCTGACCGTGTTAATCCTTCATTTAAACAAGCTCTTTTGAGCCAGTGTTAAGTGTTTGAGAAATGTGAGTATTCTTCCTCAATGTCGTGATGGCTTCTTGGAGCTTTGGAGCTCTTACACAACTAAGCTTTGTTCATGCGTCTGACTGTTAGGCATGCAGTAAATAGAAAGAAATAGTAATCCTGGCTCACATTAGTGAAGGAATCGTGGTTAGTGATGTGGTGATTTAAAATGTGTCTGCTTTGGCTGTTTTCTCTAATATACTTACTTACCAGAGCCTTTAATGAAATTGAAAGTCATTGTATTGGTTAATATAAATAATAAGAGCCTGAGTAAATTTTGTGGTTTTTCATGCATCTGGACCTGCCCTAGTACATAGTATGTGACTTTCAAGGTAGTTCAGAAACTCATGTTATTTTTAAACTTTACTGTATTTCACTTGAGCATATTCAGAACTCTTTTCTGGGTTCAGAAATATTAAGAGGAGAAAGTCCATTTGTATATTAAAGAATTTTTATTGCATTTATCTGAGAATATGTGAGCCTAGTGATTAACTTATGGGAGAAATTGAGAAAATACATTATGAGAACTTAACAGTTTACAATCAAATATAATGTTAAGCTAAGATTTAGTTTTATCTTTAAACATCTTTAAAGATAACTACTTTCGGAAAATATCAGCATTATTTGCTTTTTGGTGGTTCTCTGTGAACGACTTTGAGTCAGTAATCTGTTCCTGCCAAATCCCATTATGATGCATTTAATTACTTGCAGAAAAGCTACATGGTTTTCAAACTTAAATGCAAATCCAGTGTGTTTTGTGGATTCCTGGAGATCTCAAATATCATAGCCCTGGATACTGTGACTTGCGAAATAATTTATTGAAGTTTCTTCAGTATTCCCTGTATCTTAGAGGTACTATCTGGGCAATGCTATCTGAATATATTTGGCTATTTCTCTCATCAGAGTAGAGATTTCTGGAAGTTTGAGCATTCTTAACAAAGGTTGATGAATAGCAGAGGAATAGAAATCACCTGCTTTACACACCCCCAACTTAATGAAAATTATAACCTTGAAATTTTAGTTGGAACCTAGAAGTTTATATACATGCACATTCCTAATTTGTGTGTAACTCCTTTCTCTTGCCTAGATGATGACCTCCTTAACATAGGAGCCATGTTGTGTTCCTTGTAATATAGGCTCTGGCTTCTGTTAGTACAGAGTGTAGAGTGTGTATTACATGTTTGTTGTGGTTAATGATTATTTAAGTATCGTTCCTTTGGGTAAAACTCAGGAATTTACAGCCTGTAGCTGTTTTACCTACTCACATTCCAGTTTATACCTTTTTTCCTTGGTGGCAGAGTACCAGTTAGGTTTACAGTCCCCCTCACCATGTGCTCTGCTAGGGGACGGGTTCTCCCCAGCAGGGTAAATCGTGATTAACTGAGTTTGTCATGATAATTCTATGATTTCTAGGGGGTCCCATTAGGCATGGGTTTGTGAAGCACTGCTAGCCAGAGTGACATCAAGTTTTGTAGAGAGATGGCAGAAGAAAAGTCTCTCTGTGCTTCTGGATGGTCTGCCATTCTGCCTGTTGATATGTGAAATAACAGTAGTTGCCTTGGGGGATCATGATGTGAGCCTACGTAAGACGAAAACCGATGTACTTAGGTAGAATGACAAGATGGAAGGAGGGGATTTTTCAACCACTGGATCAGCCAACCATGTCAGTTCTCTTTAACCCTCCTGCAAAGTTCAGAGTGAAAACTTCTTTCACCTTGCTGTTAAAAAGAAAGGAAGTCTATATATTGAATAAATTGTCTAAAAGGAACAGATTAGAATAGCATCAGTCATCCAGTCCACATGCCCTCCCCCTTCTTTTCTATTCAAGCATCCTGGCCCCAGGATAGAAGACTCTTGGGTCTGGTCCTGATAAAATGGATGCAGTGTGTAATCAGGCTTCATGGACTAATAGGTTGCTTGTGCAGGTGTCCATTGTGTCTATTCCAAGGAAAATGGGAAAGGGTGTCATTTTTGATGTATTGTCAGTTATAAAAACTTACTCCCTGATAAGAGCTCAGATGTATTTGTTTTTCATGGAGAAGTGAGTTTTGGGATGGTTCCTTCCTCCCAAGCCTGTTCCATTAGTTTCTTAGCCTTACTATTGACATTTTAGGACCAGCTAATTAATTCACAGGGCTGTCTTGTGCATTTTGGGATGTTTAAAAGTTGTCCCTGGCCTCTACCCAGTAGATGCCGGTAGTACTCTGTCATAGTGACAGTCAAATATCTCCAGAAATAGCCAGATGTCCCTCAAAAGGGAAAGTTGTCCCCCATTTGGAAACCACTGTGTTGGGGGGGCAAAGGATTGTTTCTTATAGTTGCATTTGTTCTAAGACTCAGGTAGAAGACAGGGGAAGTTCCATCATTGCCTTAATCACCTCACCTTATGGTGAGAAAAATAAAACAGTAAACTTTTCAAATCCGTCTATTCAAACATATGAAGAACCTTGAGATTTGAGATGTTTTGAGCCAAAATATAGTTACTGTTTAAACTCTTAACCCTTAAAAAATAGCAAACTAAAAGAATCTTTTTTTTTTTACCAACTCTACTGAGCATAATTAACAAAAATTGTATATATTTAAGGTGTACAATGTGATGTTTTGATATATGTATACATTTTGATATTCTAGCAATTAAGCTAGTTAACATATCCATCCCCTCACATAGTTACCACTTGTGGGTGAGAGAGATAAGGATACTTGAGGTCTGCTTTCTTCACCAATTTTGAGTATACATTATTATTTACTACAGTCACCATGCTGTACATTAGGTGTCTACAAGTTAGTGATTTTTTTTTTTAATAAACTAATTTGGAAGGAGGTAATTCCAGTGTTTTAAATTCTATTCCATTGGTGTTTTTTTTTTTTTCTCAAGTGTCGTTGACACCCAATGTTACATTACTTTCAGGTGTACACATGTTTGGACAAGTTTATACATGATGCCCTGCTCACAAGCGTAGCTACCATCTGTCACCAAACATGCTTTACAATACCATTGACCGTATTCCTTATGCTGTGCTGTTTATTCCCATGACTTAGAGAATTACTTCTTAAAATCCTACCCCCAAATGTTAAATAATCACAGATGTAAACAGCCTCCAATGTGATGATATAAACTGTTGTCTTAGTAAGGCTTCACTTCATCAATGTTAATAGAATGGGCCAGGGATTCACTCGGTTTGAAACTGGGAAAAGTCTACATTTTATCTGTCTTTACAACATGCTCGAGGAAAATGGTATGAATGATACGAGTTTGTTTCCAATTTTATTTTTAAAAATGAATATTAACTTAAATATTATGGGCTGGGGAGTACAATTAAATGTTTTTGTCAAAATGAAAAAATTCTTCCAACATGCCTTTGGTTTCTTTTTGTCTTTTAGTCTGTTTTTTTGTTGTTGTATCCCCAGGGTGTTATAGCACGCCTGGGGCATAGGCTATGTCCTGTATAAAGTAAGTAAATGTTTGAGTGTTACCAGTTTTTTGAAGCCTTGAAACAGAACTCAAGTGAAGATTTAAAATAGAAGCAAACCAGCATTAAAGGATCTTTAAAGCAGTAAAGATGCCATGGTTTGCAACAATAAAGTAATATAGTGATTGGCGACAGTTGTGGTCATCCTTTCCTCAATCCACTACTACCCTTCCAGTTACCACATCTGTTAATTCAGCCTTTGAAGTAACTAGTGGACCTGTCTGTTCCTCTGCTTCTCTACTCCGCCATTTCAGGAGTCCAAGCCACTGTCTACTTAAGCTCATCTTAACCGCTCTACTCTCCTCCTCCAATCCACTTCCCACGTAGGGCAGCCAAAGTGCACTTGTTAACAAGTCAGCATTTTGAAATGCTTATAAGTTGCCTCCCCAGCTTGGAACCCCCTACATGGTTCTCTTGTCCTTGGGACCTAATCCAAAATCCTTGGTGTAACATTTACTACCCTGAACACCGACTGCTATTTGCTTTCCTCTCTCATTAACTTTCACACTCTCTTCTCATCTTGCCAAACATATATTGCTTCAGATCCTTTCACTTGCTATGTCTTTCTTGTGTTGGGGTCTTGAAACTGCCATTTCCTCTCCCTGATATATTATTCTTTTCTTGGGTAATTCTGATTTATCTTTCAAGTCTTAGGCTAAGTACCACTTCCTTAGGGGAGAATGCTTTGCACCTCTAGTTAAAGTCTGGCTCCTTTTATTTTATTCTTGATACTCTTGTTTTCCTTTCAGAACCATATTTATAATGTATAAGCTACAACTTGCAGCTATACATTTGTGTGTGTGTGTGTGTGTGTGTGTGTGTGTGTGTGTGTGTGTGTGTGTTTAAAATCTGCCCTCACCAGATAGTAAGCTCCAGTAGGTGTGTCTGTTTACTTGTCTGGTGTATGAACCATGCTTAGTGTTTACCTGGCACATAGTAGGTTCTTAGTAATGATTTTAGTGAAAAGTTGAATTTGTCTTTCATGTTGGCAATGTATCAATCTTAAAACATGTTTATTGTCCTCATGTTGAATCTGGGATAGCATTTAATGTTGGGAGAGAGTGGGAATGATTTGTTCCTACTGCCCATTGATTAGCATATTGGGTAGCATAGAACCATGCATGAGAAATGGTGACTGGCCAACCACATGCACTAATACATAAATTTATATTTTGTTTAACAGAAAAACAATATAAAGTGGTATTAGGCAGCTTTTCACTTTATCCAGAACTGGGGAAGAAACTCAAAGCTTAAAAATATAAATTTCCCTGTTTATTGCTTTAGAGTTTATTCAAATTGTTATATACCATGAGTCCTTGCTTAGTAGCTTTTTGGCCAATAGGATTTCAGTATGCAGTACACTAATATAAACAACTGGATTGGCTTAACTACCTCTGATGTCACAATTTCCCCATTAGGAAGTCATAATTTTCTTGAAATCACATTATAGTAATAACAACTCTTGTTATTCTGTTTCATTATAAGAAAGATAATCTACCAAAAATAAAAATGCTGGAAGGAGTAGCATACCTTTGACCGACGCAGACCTTTTTCCATTTGTGCGCTTTAATATCTACTGCCAACAATTGGAGTTAGCTTCTTTGCTTTATAATTGATGTTTTGTTTTTTGTTTGTCAGTTAATAGGCAAATGGAGGAATGAGCCTACTTCAAATTACTCCTTCAACTCATAGTTCTGTTTCATCGCGACTGTTAAGGCTTAGCATCTTTCTACTACTTAGCCTTCCTGACTCTAAAGGAAAAGCCATTTGGACAGCCCACCTGAATATAACCTTTCAGGTGGGAAATCGGATTATATCAGAATTAGGAGAGAGTGGAGTGTTTGGAAATCATTCTCCTTTGGAAAGGGTGTCTGGTGCCTTGGTACTTCCTGAAGGATGGAATCAGAACGCTTGTAATCCTATGACCAACTTCAGCAGACCTGAACAGGCAGACTCTTGGTTGGCCCTCATTGAACGGGGAGGCTGTACTTTTACACACAAAATCAATGTGGCAGCAGAGAAGGGAGCAAATGGGGTGATCATCTATAACTATCCAGGTACTGGCAACAAAGTGTTTCCCATGTCTCACCAGGGAACAGAAAATATAGTCGCGGTGATGATAGGCCACTTGAAAGGCATGGAACTTTTGCACTTGATTCAGAAGGGAGTTTATGTGACGATCATCATTGAAGTGGGGAGAATGCACATGCCATGGCTGAGCCATTATGTCATGTCTCTGTTCACCTTCCTGGCTGCCACAGTTGCCTACCTTTTCTTGTACTGTGCATGGAGACCTCGAGTGCCCAATTCTTCCACCAGGAGGCGAAGACAGATAAAAGCAGATGTGAAGAAAGCTATTGGTCAGCTTCAACTGCGAGTGCTCAAGGAAGGGGATAAGGAACTAGATCCAAATGAAGACAGTTGTGTTGTTTGCTTTGACATATACAAACCCCAAGACGTAGTACGTATTTTAACTTGCAAACATTTTTTCCATAAGGCATGCATTGACCCCTGGCTTTTAGCCCATAGGACATGCCCCATGTGCAAGTGTGACATTCTGAAAACTTAAACCTGGAGAATCTTCTGAAGATGTAAGCGAGTCTTTCCAAAGAAATTACATGAATTCTCTTTTAGCACTTTTATGTAGAGAAAAAACTGAACTTCATCTTCTCTACCTAAGTATTAATGAGGATGAAATTTGTGTGTTTTTAAAATAAAACTCCATATCATGCCCAGGTATTTGAACTTGTTGTTTTTCTATTGGGTTGCTACTTTTTTGCCCTTATCCAAATAAGAAAATTAGTATATGTTAAAAACAAATTAGTCTTCAAATTAAAATGATTGTGACATTGAGGCCACAGAGAGTCGTGATACTTTAAAGTTTCTTTTTTATATTTCCATATTTTTGACATCTAATATCGTTGTTAAATAAATTTCATTACAGAATTAGATCTTGATTTAATTCTCCATGGTTAATTAATACCTGGAAATCTGGTTTCCAAAGTTGCTAAGTAATGTGTTCTAGGTAATTATTTTAGATGATAGCACCTCTGGTTATATAACTAAAATATTTTAAATCGTTATAGGCTTCATTTAGGACAGCATCACAAAAAAATCACTTTTGTTTGCCATAGCCCTTTAAATCCTAGCATAGTGAATTAGCTAGGGTGGCAGATTTCCCTTCTAGAAGTGACCGTAGTAAATGCTTTTGTTTTCTTAAAATGGTGATGAGTGTGTCTGTGGGAATTTTGATATAAATCTAGAATGGAGCTGAAATTTTGTTTAATTGCGTTTACAAATTGTATCTTTTGCCTCATTTTGCTTCTCTTCTCGAGTAGATAAAACACCTGTGTATAACAATAAGAGGTTGAAAGATTTGAGTTATGGTTTTGACTAAAATATTTGCGGGTGAAATGCTAAACCGTTGATATCCAACTTAGATGACACTTTGAGTCTACACACTATGTACTACACACTTTCAAGAATGGGTTGTATGGAAATAAAATCAGATGAATGGCCTTTGGGAAAGAAAATGGACCATTGTGAGCTGTAATTTACACGGTAATATTTTCTTTTTATGCTGTTTTGGTTGGGCCTATAGGGTCTTTTTCTCTTCCTTTCCTGCCTCAAATTATTTTGGTTCACATTTCATAAAAAGAACTAGCTCCCTTAGTCCTGGTAAGACCTAACCAAAACGGTCTCTTAGCATCCTCTGTGTAAAGGTCAGACCTTTGTGTTTAAGGTCAAAGTTCTTGGTTTCCTAGCTAGTGGATGAGAACCACTGAGAAATACCCTCAAGAAGGTGTATGGCAGCACCAGGGGTTGGCCACGTTTGTTAGTTCACAAGTTGCTTTGGTCTCAAGTCATTTTGTGACATTGATGTAAGTGTAGCAAAAATAAAGGCAGAGCTGATGACGGTGTGTGTGTGTGCACGCGCACTTGCGTGCACGCGCTCATGCGCGGGTGGGTTCACCAGGGATGTTTGTTGATTTTTGGCAAAGGTTTTGCTCAAAGCATCTATGACCTTTAACACTGCTGTCAGTGGTTAACTCTAAATGGGGAGCTTGACGTTTTTCTTTTTTAAAATCAGTAGCTTCCTTTTTGTTTGAAATGAATTATGCTAAACTAAGACTGCTACATATAATTTTTTTCCTCCTACTCTTCCTTTCTTCCCTCAAAATATTGTTAGATCAGTAGCAGATGCCAAGATCTGCAGAGAAAAGAGTTTAATGTTCTTTACTGCTGTCATCCCTATGGAGAGTCAATGTAAGAGTGAAGAAGTGAAGCTGAAGTAATCTAACAGGATTTAGAAATCAAAATCCTCCTTTTAAAAATCCAAATCAAAACCAGACTGAACCAACCAACCTGAGCAAGCAATTATTAAATAAATTTAGTACAATGGTTTACATGATAAATAAAAAATTTGCACCATGACCAAAATGTGAGTTAAAAGTGGTACTACAGAGCTCACTGCTTTTACCACATAATTATTCATAGTACTAATTTCTAATTATTTAAAACTTGCCATCTTGTTACATGTTTCCTTGATTTATTGTCAAGAAAAATAATTCTGTGGCTTTCTTGCATATGCTTTCAAGTCTTGTATAGGCATGTGTTGTATGATTTTTATATTTAATTTTTTGTTTAAAGTGATACCTGTTAACATGTAGCTCAAGGATTGAATTGATTTTACAATCTAGAAATCACCCCTAACAGTATTTGAAGCATTCAGGCCAGTAAGTTTCCAGCAGGCTCAAAGCTCTTCTCTAATTGGCTGTGTTGTCTTTTATGTCATAATCACATTACCCAACTGTAAACAGTATCTGGAGTTTACATTAGTGAGACTGGGATTTTTTTTTTTTTTTCAATCTAAAGTGTTTCTCTCGCAAATAAAACATCTGAACCTCATAAGACATCTTTAAGAATTTCTTAGAAAAACATGCTGGAAGACAGTGAAACTTGTTTTCACCCGGAAGATTTTTCTCATGTTGTTCTGAATTGATTTTCAGCAGATGTGGAAGCCACATCTTTTTGTTGGGTTGGTACTTCAGTCTCTAGGTGAAGAGAGAGATGAGTCTACTCAGGATTGGCACTCACAGAAACAACACTGCATCTTCCTGGCTTATGAAATTTAGTTTTCTTTGGCTTCTTAGTCAGAACTGTTGCAGAGCTAGTGCTGTTTGGACTGCTTACATGAACATATCCTTTCACGTTCGGAATCGCATGTTGTCAGAGTTGGGGGAAACTGGAGTGTTTGGAAGAAGTTCCACTTTGAAGAGAGTGGCAGGAGTTATCGTGCCACCAGAGGGGAAAACTCAAAATGCGTGTAATCCCAGTACCAGTTTTAGAAGATCAAAGAACTCCGAGACCTGGCTCGCGCTTGTTGAACGGGGAGGTTGTACCTTCACGCAGAAAATTAAGGTAGCTGTTGAGAAGGGAGCCAGTGGAGTGATCATCTACAACTTTCCAGGAACTGGTAATCAGATTTTTCCCATGTCTCATCAGGCCTTTGAAGACATCGTTGTGGTGATGATCGGTAACCTAAAGGGCATGGAGATTTTGCACTTAATTCAGAAGGGAGTTCATGTCACAGTCATAGTTGAGGTGGGGAGAAAACACATCATCTGGATGAATCACTATTTTGTGTCTTTTGTGATTGTCACAACTGCTACTTTAGCATATTTCATCTTTTATCATATTTGGAGACTTTGGGTAGCCAGGATTCAGAACCGGAGATGGCAGCGGTTAACGACCGATCTCAAGAAAGCCTTTGGCCAGCTTCAGCTTCGGGTGCTGAAGGAGGGGGACGAGGAAATCAGTCCGAATGGAGATAGCTGCGTAGTTTGCTTTGAACTCTATAAGCCTAATGATACAGTGCGTATTCTCACTTGTAAACACTTTTTCCACAAGAATTGCATCGACCCCTGGATTCTGGCCCATGGGACCTGTCCTATGTGCAAATGTGACATTCTTAAAGCTTTGGGCATTCAGGTGGATGTTGAAGATGGAAGAGAATCTTTGCAAGTTCTCATGTCGAATGAATTGTCTGGTAACCCCCCTAGTGAAGAGGGGACAAACAACGAACTTCCTCCTGCAGGAGGGTCAGACAAAGTGACCCGTGTGGCGGAGGAGGAGGAACCCTCTGCTCAGAACGACAGCCAGCCTCGTGCAGTAGCGGGAGATGTTCATCCTTCACCTTGACAGCATGACCTTTGAGGAACTGGATTAAACCTGTTTGTCAACTCAAGTCCTAATACTTGACAAGCAGTTGGTTTGTTTGAAGTGTGGTTTTTGTGTCCCTTTCTGTTACTTTGGTAACTGTCTCCATTCTTTGTCAAGCGGAAAAAGGGCCTAGCAGGATTTTTTGTTCCCTTTTTTTTTTTTTTTTTTTTTTTTTTTTTTGCCTTTGCTAAATGTTAACTGCTTGTCAGTGTCTGTCATTCCTATGAGTATATATGGCTGTTTCTACATACAGGTGCACGTTAAAATCGAGGACAAATTTTTTCCCCCTAAGTGTTTGTACATATATTGGGCTCTATATTGGTAAGAAAATTGTTAATACATTTGTATGTTCCTTATACAGAAACCATCAGTTAAGTTTGGAAAAGAAAAATTACCTTTTACGTGCTAGGAAGAGTACTTTTTTGAGATTATATATAGTACAATATACTACTTTTGAAGTCATTGTGCTGTGTTTTTTCATTCTTATCATGAAAATTTTGCTGTTCAGAATTTTATTACTCTTGACAAGCAGTCCTTTTCAAGCTATTAGTACCTTTTAATGTGATTTGTATATGCATAATGATAGCAATTTTAAAATAAAAACACTAGCTCTTTTAAATAATTCCGTGCCCAGTATTGCGTATAATTAATACATGTTCATAATTTGTAGAAAGATTTAAATGATAAATCCTCTGTTTAGTTTTTTTCCCATGTGTTCCACCATACTACCCAGTTTGTTTTGCCATTAAGTATTTAAAATATGCTAGGTTATTTTGGAGATAGATATCACAATGTAGATTTATTATGACATCTTGGAATTGTGTTTATTTTGTTCACTGTATTCCCAGGATCTAGCACAGTGCTGGGCACTCAAATACTTTTGGAGTGAAGGAATGAATCAGTACTTTATTCATTATGTAAATATGTGTTAAAAGAAAAACTGGACAGTTTATCCCAATCATACACAATAATGGGAAGTTAATCCTGAAAATTTTCACCCTGAATCACCTTGACAAAATGGAAAACTATGATTTTTTTTTTTTTTTTTTTTTTTTTTTTAGCCCAGAATCCCTTATTTCAGTTTAGCATGCACAGTTTTAACAAGGACCTTTGAACTCTCCTGAGCTGATAGTGGGGTTTTGGTTCTTGTGCAACACTAGAGAGACATCTATTCGGAGTGGTTTCTTGAGTTTAGGGCTAATACTGGAATTCAGAGACAGGTGGAAGGGCAATAATTGGTTCTAACTATAACACCAAGCAAGACTGAAAGAGGAAGAATCAATCAGCTAAGGCCTGGGCGAATCAGCACACAGCAAAATGCATCCAAGATGACCAGGTTGGGTGGGGGGGTGAAACCTGACTGGGTATGCACAGGCTTTTTTATACCCAATCCTGGAGAGCTTTGACTAAGTTAATCAAAGGAGATGCTCTTTGAAAGAACTGTAGAGCACCCATACTGGGGAGGATTTAGCAAGAATGCTATTTTGAGGATCTTTCTCAATTTATCT